AATATGAATCAAATGTGTAATCAACGTTGCTGACAATGAGTCAGCTATTATGCGAAAACGTGATAAATATTTGATTTAATGATTACCACGCGTATACAAAACGCGGAATACATTGCATCAAATGGATTAACCTTTTAATTTGCAATATTACTGCGACTTTATTAATTGATTTCTATTTTTCTGCATAGAAAGGCACGGATGTTTATATTATAATAATATCAATTGAAAATATGATATTTTTTTAAATTAAGTGAATTCTCGTAAATAATATTTTATAATAAGAGAGAGAGAAAGATGCAACGTTGCTTATATTACATACAAACAAATTTTAGAGATTAGTGATTTCGAAACTTAGAATTGCATCTATATTTGCACAATTCTGTTTATCTATATGTGAAAATATCTGTTTAGTTATCTTGAAGATTTTCTTTACTAATTATAAGTTTTGATTAATTTTTGACAATGTACAAAGGAATGCATGGAATAAAGAAACGATGGAAAAAAATGGTACACGCTGATAAGATAGATCTTGCAGGGATATCGCTGCTCTCGGCAGCTAATGAAAAACGCGAGCGAAGGTGCTCGAATGGGAAGCAAGGATGATGAGTGGCGAAAGAGCAAGTATAAAGGAGCAGAGGAACGGAAGTACTCGAGGATGTGAAGTAGGGGTGATTTTGCCGAGGCCTTCTAAGCGGCAGGATTAAGTGCTACGTAAATTCTACCGCGTGCTCCTCCTTTCTTGCATGGATAAAGAATCGCCGTCGCTTGGTTAGACGCATCGTCGACGTAAGAAAAGTGAAAGTCGCTTCGCTGTGGACACAAAAGGATTGCAGAAGGGATTACAAGAGTCTCGGATAAGACGGAAGAATATTCCGAAGCTGCCACAGGATCATTACTTTATCATAATAAACAAGAGTATCTTTAATTATCGATTGCAATGTAACGATTACTGTTACTTTGTATTATGTTTTTGTAGAAAAATAGATACAAATACTTCATCGTAAGCAATCTGTTAGTCGATTATATATTAATCAGGAATAATATGAATTTAAACCGTAAATGAAATTTTGAAAAACGAGGGACGAATAAGATTTAAAGAAGTTTATAAAAAAGAAACCTTGTTAATTCATTCTTTGGCAGTAATTGCTGTGTTTTCAAAAATCATTATGTTATTGAGTGATTTTTTAAATAATGATACAAAAGTTGTAGTAGAACCATCATAAATTAATAATACAAGATCAAAGTTTTCAATTGCAAATTCAATGTTTACAAAAATAAAGTGTTTATATACAACTCAAACAGAAAATTGTATATTGACACTTGAGTTTAATTTTAAAAATACTTAATTTCTAAACTGGTCAGTCTCACTTTTGTCTTGTCACGCGTGATTAACATGTTTTATTTCATATTATAACTACTGACTCTTATTCTAAATAATCTGCGTGATTTTATTTTAAATATTTCTTGTGAATACCATTTTTCTGTTAGTTGTTGACAGGTTTCTCTTCCTTTTATTTCTTTCTTATCACATTCACAATAAAATTCTTGCACCTCACATTGGACCTTCCCAATTCTTTAGTAGCTGCCTATGTTGGAATGACGAATGTGTGATATTTTTAGAAACGTATTCTCGCTAATAATAGCTTCAAAAAGAATAGAAACATTCGAATGATACGTATAAGGTCTAAATACTAAAATTATACCATAAATTTTATTGCGCTTTAATATCTACGTTCTACTCTCTTTTGTCCTAATTTTATTAGTTAGTTTCTAAAAATATCTTTAAACTTCTCTCTCTCTCTCCCCTCCTCACCCTCTCCTTCTCTCCCTCCCTCGCCCTCTCTCTCTCTCTCTCATAGAAATGCAGGAAAGAAAAACAGTAAGAAAACGTTAAATTAATTATTTCAAAATAAAATTCCATCTATATCAAGTATGAAAAATACTAATACTAGGTCTGTTTTTTATTGCTGCATTCTGAACCGGTGCAATAAGTTGAAGTGAAACAAACGTATATTTGTTTGACTTCAACTTATCGCACTGTGTATACTAGTGCAGCAATAAAAAACAGACCGATAATTTCATTAAAACTGTGCATACTACAACCGAAGTAATCAACACAAAATTCAAGACGGCAATGGTGGAAGACGAGAGTCTCCATTACTCGTTCCGGTCAAACGTGAACTTGTCGCGTTAGAAATAATACACGCAAATTAAAATTGTAAGCTCTAATATACCTGATTCATGTCGAGAATTCCGAATTTCTGCTATTTTCGACTGCATCTTTCACGAACGATCAAAATAATCTCGTAACAAAAAATGCGAGGAGCATAAGCGCGCGCGATTTACGACTCGCAGGTCGCGGATGCAGGTGCAAGTACGAACCTGTTTGGAATTTCGCGAGGAGAACGATGGCGCCATCTCGCGACAAGACGGAACGTTTACCGACTCGTCTTGTATCTGTTGAGCACGTTGAGTATTGTAGAATGTATGCAGTTATCCGAGAGCACACAGAGAGAAATCTTAGAGAGGCCATGCCAGCCTTTTTCATGTTACCGTCCAAATTGCACTACCGTCAGTATATCCATTTTCAATTTGAGAACTACGTGATTACATACATTTTCTGTGACACTATGGATAAAATCGTATCATTGAAAGTAAATGTGGTTTATCTCTGTGCTAAATCCTCAGGTACCGACGAGATACTATTAAAGACCGACATCCTTACGGAAGTTTGTAAATATTGAAGTAATTAAGAGTTAAAAATTGATAATATTGTACTAATTTTATGATTTATTAGTTTAGTAGACGTATTTATGCATTTAAAACTCAATAATACTCGATTTTTCTTTAAAATTGTAATTTCAGTGTTATCATCAAAGTTTGATTATCAACAAAAATGATAACTGCAGAGAAAAAATTATAATTTTTCTGCAATATATAGGATATTATAGACTATTATAGCTTCGGTCTTTAATAGTATCTCGTCGGTGCCTCAGGATAGAAGCGTGCCGATCATCCATAAGAGGGACAGTTTAATGGATCCTTGAAGAAAAAAATTTTTATTTCGCATCTTTTACACATGTAAATAAAAGTTGTTGAATTTTAACAAAACAAAATTGAAAATTTATATTTATCTTATAATATCTTATAAAATTACGAAAAAAGAGGTAAAAACGGGCTGAAAATTTGCATAAATATACATAACTTCGTAATATAAGACAAAATTTACTTGTTACTTGTTTGTGTACAAATTAACTTGTTTTCAATTTCGTTTATTAAAATTCAACAATTTTTATTTACATATGTAGGAGATGCGAAATTAAAATTATTTTGTTTAAGGAATTTTTTTGTTTATTAAACTATCGCTCCTATGGATGGTCGGCACACTTCTATCCTGAGAATTTAGCACAGAGACGAACCACGTCTACTTTCGACGATACAATTTTATCGATAGTATCAGAAAATATATGTAATCACGTAGTTCCCAAACTGAAAATGGATGTACTTGCGGTAATGTACGGACGATTTCGACGGTAACAGGAAAAATGCCGGCATGGCCTCAGAATTTGCTCTCAATAGATAATAATGTAATTTTTGTGGATAAATTATAAAAAAGTTGCAAGAAAATTTTATTATAAACATTAAAAAAATATAAAAAGAAAACTAATAGAATCATGCTGGCATAAATGTAGTGAATATTAAATGTCATATTTTTACCCTTCAGCTGCTCACCGCCTATTGTCATTGATTTATACTCGTTTCCAATGTAGGTTAATTATCATCTTATCTTTCATCTTTTTTTTTAATTATTAGAAAACAAGAAAAAGATGAAAGATATAAGCTGAACCAGAATTAAGTTAATTAGAAATGGGCATTAATATAAAATAATTAAAAAGAGAGAGAGAGAGAGAGAGAGAGAGAGAGAGAGAGAGATAAATGGAGTAATTTTATTATTGAAAAAAAAAAAAAGATTTTATGTATATTACATGTTCAATTACAAAACAAAAAGAAGGGAGATGTTTTTATTTATAAATAAAATATTTATTTTTCTTATTCAACAATTTAGGCGACAACATTGCAGTTATTACCTTATTTATACGAAATATTGATGTATATCAAGGCCGCTTCAAAATGCGGCATGTATATCGAAATCAGTCAAGTAAGAATATGTATTGTGTTCGATATCATTTGGTATGTAGGCTTCATTTCTACGAGTTACAAAACGTGTGTATAAGTGTGCGCCGGGAATAGAATAGAAATTTGCAAATAAATTACTCAATATCCCGACTTTAATTGTGTTGCAAAAACAAGTGTCAATGTCGCAGCGCATTTTAATTAATTAATCGTCAATATCTTGTTAACATTGCAGTAGATATCGGCAGTCTTTCACTGAAAATGATGAAGGAAAGACACACTTTGGCGTTAGAGACAAAAACCCACGTCCCGATTCCAGACAATACGCATGTCCAAAATCATATAAGATATAAGACGTCTTATGTCCCTATTCTGGATTATGTGTTGTTTGCGATATTTCTAATATCGTTTACAAAAAAGTATCGCGCAAAACGTTGAACTATATATATTCTATATCGAACAGTTTGAAATCCCCAGTGTCCTTGGAATATAACAAAAAATAAAATAAAGTATATTACTAATATCAAAAAGTTGCTTTTAATTTCAGCAGACAACAGTTATGAAGTATGTTTACGAAATAATACGTTCTTCGTATCGTCGCTATTATAATTGCAAAAATTTCTTATCTAAAGTTCTTTATGGAAACTATGCTGGTTAAATTTGTATAAATCTAGAAGATTTTTCAGTCCAAAATTAAATTCAATAAATGCATTTGTATAATAACATTAAGAAGTATAGTATTAATTAGTTTTACTTTTAATTCTGCTAGAATTAAAAATCAGAAAAGAAAAAAATATTTAAGATAAAACGAACCATCACGAGACAAGTATAAATAGTGATACCAAATAAATATAAATAGAGCTGCGAAACATCGTGGATTATACTATATATCCACAGAGAGTCTCTTTCCATTCCAGAACGTCTCAACATATATTTCCTAAAAATGTACGTGTCATGACTATCGATGCGCGTACACACGCAGTGGATTTTGTATCTCGCAAGACGTATTTTTCAGGATACTATAAAACGGTGGTTCCGCGGTCCATGACGACCAAGCACCCGTCTTCATCATGCAGGAGCAATCCATGGCGAGGACGGATTCTACAACAGAATGTTTGTAATCGTAAATTTCAAACTTGTTTCAATAATGGGTAGTTTCAATTCAAAGTTATGGGTTTATGCGTAAAATATGTCGTGTGTGTGTGTATGTATATGTATGTGTGTCGCAAATTCTTACAAGAACAATTCTTGTGAGATCATCCAAGAAAACGGGTAAAACGGCTTTTCGACTAAAGCAAATTTAATTTGGGAAAGGAACGTAAAAAACCTACGCCAGTTATTATAGCGAAATTATAATTTATCAATTCATAAGACAGTGCTAATATACGTTTCGACCTTTTATTCCATATAATAACCAGCAACACTGGTTATTAATGTGTATTTTGATACCATTTATTCAAAGTGAATATTAAACGTATACGTTTCGATCCACGGTCAAGGTTCTCTTTAGTACAAAAAAATATATATTAACAAAATTACATAATAATAGCGCATACGAGTATAAATTAATAACATATAAAATGCGAGAAAAACCATTTTTACATCTACCAAACAGTTATGTCGTGTCTAATATCTTTAAATTTTGTTTCATTAAATGGAATAGTTTAATGGAACATGTACAACAAACCTTATAGAAACAGTTCAATCTTGACAGTCATTTAACTTAGTAATTTAATGACTAAGATTAACTCGGACATCACCACCACGGTTTTTCTCGCATTTTATATGTTATTAGTTTATACTATATTTTTATGTTATTAGTTTATACTTATATTAGGGGCGTAGACAAAAATTATTTACTTTCTTCTCATAAAGTTCTGAAAATTTTTTCAGAATGTTTTAATACCGTATTTTCTCTTTTTAATAAAAATAAGAAAATGCAGTACTAAAAAGTTGATAAAAAATTCGGAAAAAATTCTTAGAGTTCTATGAAAAGAAAATAAACAATTTTTATCTCTTATAGTTTTTTTGTAAAATTGATAGTATTTGAGAAAAAAATTATAGAAGACCAATATTCAGCCATTTTTAGTAACTAATATCTTGTTAATTATTGCGAAAATTACAAAAT